TTTTGTTCAGGTGCTATTTTCAAGTTAATATTTAAATCTCTGGCGGGAATATCTGCCTCATAAGACTCAGTTTCTATTGTTATCACTGGGAGCAGTGTAAGTACTACAAGCATCTTCACCCTCCTCTGTGCTTCAGTACGCCTATAATCTTGAAGGGAAGAGGCACCTGGCATGCAACATGTTGATGCAAACTATTATTTACTGAAAATAGCAATGGCTCACAGGCAGATCTCACAATTGTAGGTTTTGATATCGCTGCTTCTGTTTATAAACGCTGATAAATCTGCTTCTCAAGCAGATTTATTTATTCAGTTGCTTTGTACATTCTATTGAAATAATTTTCTGTCAAGAGTCTAACAAATTTTCATATTAAATACTTAAAAGAGGTTGACTTTGTATATTTATAGATAGTCTGACAAGAATTATGCCAAAAAATAAGAAAACCATTGTTTTTTCATCAAAAATTTCACAATAAAATATTTAAATAAAGTCTTTTTTTATAAGAACATGTACTGAAATTTTCTAAATTCCATAATTAAAAGGCAGTCACTGATGTGTTTTGGTAATGTCTGCATATGAGACAGGTGAAGACACCGAGGGGGGAAAAATCATACACCCACAATCATGATGAGAAGTTGAAAAATTATTATTAAATTTTAGGAGTATTTTTAAGAAAAACTCTGCTCAAGTTCAAAAATAAAAACATCAAATAATGTGAGTTAGCACTTCAAATGTTATTTAATACAATTATTGTTCAGACTTAATACACAAATGAAACAAATGATAAAAACCAAATATTGGCTAAATTACCTTTTCAAAATATATACAATGACTTTGTAAAATCCTAAAAATCCAAGTCCCAGTAATTACAGACTTATTTGTTCATTTGTAACAATTTAACTTTTTTGTATCGAATTCATTTACGAAACAAGAGTTTTGAAGAATGAAACTTACTTAATAATTTGTGTTTTTCCATATTTCCACATATTTAAGGAAAAATCACATAAGTAACTCGTCATATTTCAACAATTTAATCGCACTGTTTCATATATGGTAATAGTCTCTTAAAATTATTCTTACAAGATTATTCGCATAACTTCCAGTGCAATTTAAAGTGGTCAATCAGGTTTAGAAGAAGATATCGATTTAACACCACAATATATTGCAAGATTCAAGTTGGGCACCTTCACTACTTTCAATGTTGCATCTAAGCAAAATTATGAGATTAAAGGGTAATTTCATATTTTAATATTTAAAGCATTAATTTGGAACCCGCTGCTTTGTGAACTATCAGAAACTGCATCAGAAACTTACTTTCAGCAAAACACTGTTCAGTTAATTTTAGAACATGATTAATCCTTGTTCTAGCTAACATTGAAATGAAGTTCTTTGACATTTCTATTTAGGTAACTTAAACATTTGATTAATGGATTTTAACAATTTTAATTTTTACTAAATATTTTGAAGATTTTTAGCCAGCATATATGAACATATTTATCATACATTATTATATATAAACATTATATCTTATTCTGTATAAATCATCCTCCTTTATTTGTAACAATTTTTTCAGTAATTGCCATGAACCTTTATTAAACTTATTTTCACACATGAATTTTTTGCTGATGCTAAAAATGATGACTTTTGATTTTATTAATACAAATTTCTATGCGATTGATTGACTTATGCAAGTTACACTGTTCTCTTGATAATGGTCATTGTATGTTTTTCTTTATTATTAAAGATATAAGAACATTTTTTAGAGACATTTCTGAAAAAATATTCAGTAAAACAATCAAACAACTTTAATCTAGGCAGATAACGTAGAAATTTTTCTTTTACAAAAGTAGCTGAAATATGTCATATTAAATTAAATTTTCTTAACTTCCTGCCCAGTGTAACAAATTTTTATGACAGAATGAAAGTAATGCAACAATACAGCAATCGATAACTTCTAATATGAATAATTTGTGGAACTGTGTAAGTAGTAAGCTATCTTTCTATGGTTCACCAAAAAAATAGATTATGATGACTTCTTAGTGATTTTGGGTAACTGTATCATAAATTTATTTGCTGAAAGCTTTTAATCGTTTATTTAGAAGAGGCTGATGCCAAAGACTGTGCCATGCTAATAAACAAAAAAATACAATGACATCAACTACATCTATTCTATCAGCGGTATCATTATTGTAACTGCCTTGCATTATAAAGATATTTGGGAGTAACAATACATAAAAATCTAAATTTTAACATATACATAAACAACATCAAAGAATCTTTGAAAATATTAGGCTACTAAGACGATGGAGAAGAAGAAGAAGTCAAAGGAGAAGAAGATTAAGAATAATATAGTTATGCAACCCCCTCAGAATTCTAATGATTCTCCTGCAAATTCCATGTTTTCCAGAAAGTGGCCAACCTGTCAACATAGAAGTCACTGGTTTTGCAAATGATTGTACCTTACTTTAATGCATGTCAGATATGCACAGTTACTCCATGACTTTGAATGTAGAACTCACATTTTTTTAATACTCATCAATACCTCACCTTGTCAGATTGAATAATCTATACATTACTGAAAATGAAATTGAATGAAGTTGATCCATTTACTCAAAACTGGCTCAGACGGCTGTTTATAAGTTTAACTAATTCACTGATTAATATGAATGAGTGATTGATTGAAAATTATTTTATTAAATTTCACTAAGTGACTGAGAGATTGATTATTATTTTATTTATCTCTCTCGCTTTCTCTGTTTTGCTACTTCACATTCACAGTAATTATCTATGAATATATATTATGGTGTGTACAAAAAGTTCTTTAATTGAAGTATGACATTTTTGCCTGTTCAAGTAATTTCACAAACATAAAAAGCTGCCTAAAGAGCTGTTGAGGCACCAAAGTACATCTCATATATACAACATAAATTTTTAATCTCAAATAAAGACAACTGAAAGCAATTCTTTTAACTTTCTTGTACGTAATGATAGTGTTTTCTGGTAAAATTGATAATTACGTATTCAGAGGTCACAAAATCTAAAAGTTTGCTGACGGACACTGCATTTAGAAATTAGATACCTCTGAATGCAATTATGAAGTGAAAGGAATTGCGTAGAAGTAAATGCAATGCTTTATCTGGATGAGAGGAGATATTTGAAATATTATATTGAAGAAGCAACTGAAATACACATTGGTTTTGTTTTTGGAAACAACATCATATTTTCTTCTTGACACGAGGGTGGAGGTGGGAATTAACAGGAAAAACTTTAACATGCAGAATTTTGCCATCTTAATATTTCAAAAGTCCCGCACGTTGCTGCTTCAATGGCCTGCTCATCGCAGGCCAAAGAGGGGTAAATAATCTGTGGTTTAACCCATGGTCTGTGTCTTGATTGTTTGTAGACCACAAGGAAATACTCCTTTTAACAACAATGATGGTCTACTGGCTTAAGTTTTGTTAGCCTGCCACACAGGAAGTTCAAAAGTTTCTGAAGGAAATGGATGCAGAAAATGACGATGCCAGTGCATTTACACCACAGGTGTAGCTGGTGCAAAATGGGGTTTCTTTAAATCCAGCAGTTACACGTAGTGGTCTGAGAGACGACCGGAACCTTTACTCTAATATTGTGATTTCAGTTTGGACGGCTTGTGATCTCTGCTTTTATGTACCGTTTCGTTCCACAGAAGTCCGCACTTTTTTTTGAAAAAGCGAGTATGTTATCCTTTTCTAAGCGCGAAACATTTCCCAAAATTTGCCATGGCCTGGGCGGAGGACGCGCCTGCGGACACTTGGTGCAACAGCTTTCGATCAGTTTCTTTACGTACTTAACAAAAATATTAGTGACAACATATGCGAAAAGTTATTTGTTGATTGATGTCTGTATTCTAACAGTTTGTAAAGCGGCATGATGAAGAAAATCATCAATACGTAAAATATACCAAAATACAATTGAAAAAAATATCTATTCACCTATTTCATTTTTTTTCAGTTTTTGTTCCATTTGCATGGCAAAACCCTAAATACAGTAATAAATTATTTAAAAATGAATCTCATTATTGACTATAATATCTTACTTTTTTCTGGGGCTGGCACTTCCTCAACAAAAATTTATAAGGGGAAATTGAATTAAGGGAAACTACAAACAGTAGGATCTGTATGAGACCAGGTGCATGCACTGTTGCTACGGAAAGAGGCATCGTGTGATGCCGGATTGATAGCAAAGAAATAATTCCTCCAGAACGAATATTCAGGATGTTAAGATTTAGAAACAACTTTCTGAATGACTTATATTAATAATAAAAATAACAATAACAAAATAATAATAATAATAATAATAATAATAATAATATAATAATAATAATAATTATAATAATGTCTTTTATTAATGCGAGGCTCAGCCATCAGGGCCTGCTCTTCCGCTAACCCCGCTTAATTACAGAACCGTGTTAATTTCTCCTTTAACCATTAAAAGCAATATTGAAAGAAGCCACATTAAAGGAAAATAAATGGCAGGAGAAATAATTACATGTATCCATTAATTGCAGAATACTATGAATATGTTTTGTTTATTCATCAACATGCAATATGGAAGACAAATATTAAAACATTACAATAATCCTTTCAGTTACTGTAATATATATATATATATATATATTCACTCAAAAAGAAAATGGTACTATCACTAAAATATGTTGAATAGTGCGAGAATACACCCTAATGAAAACAGACAAACTGGCTAATGTGAAAGTTTCTTACACACATTTCTTATACAAAAAGCAGGTATAAGTATGAATACCTACTCTCCATCCTTTCTGTAGAAGTATATTGTACATCAAACAGAAACTTGTGGTTCTATTATAGCAATAGTGTCAAAGATCACATAATGTAACATACTAAATAATTTCCAAACCCAATGCAAAATAATAAAAAAGTATGCAGTACACATACCACAATGAAAAAGAAAGAAAAAAGAACTTGTGTAATTTAGATTTAACTCACACAAAAGTATGGACTACATGCAGACAAAATCAGTCTATGAGCTTTTAGACTTTGCCCTTCAGCAGCTATTGTGCAATCCACCAAAAAATCTTTCTCCAATAACAATTTACATACTGTAGCAAGTTCATTGGCATAGTTGTTCCAACTCACACACAAGATAGGTTCAGCCATGATAAAATATCACTGAAACAATTTAGAAGCACATGTTATTTCAGAAAAATATTTAAGACTAAATATACCACATGCACTAAAGGAGGCCAATTATACAAGCTATCATTTTTTGAATATTCAGCCACAATTATCTCTTCAGCCCTAAGGGTATGCTCTCTCTCAAGAGCCATGCCAGGACAAAATGGATTTTCCTTGTCGTATCTCACGGTAATAGGAACTTTTATCAGTTTCCTTCAATTGCTAGATGCCCTTCACAGACACTAGGCACTGTATTTCTAGTTAGCAGTGTGTTAAAGCAAATGTTTACTTATTTTATACTTAAGTTTTGGATACAAATATTTGTGTACCAATAAGAATTTGTTTCTATTTCTTCATGGTTGTATTTTACAGCAATGATTTATTTAGAGCACAATCCTTTCCAAGTTTTACTACTATTATATTGTTGCTACTGTTCAACACACATATCAAAAATATTTTTGGTACAAGGGGTTATTGAATTTTGTAATTATAGTAATGTTGTTTGATTCTAATACTGATGTAAGACACAAATTAATGAATTTGTTATACAGTTATTTTTATTTCTCCATTTCCATAATATTATTTTGAAGGTGCAATACAATGCAATGCAAGTCATTGAATGCACTTTCAGAATTGAGGAGACCACAACACTTAAGCTGAGACACTGCTGTCTCACTGAATGCACTCAGCTGGTTACCTGCTCCTGCAGTGCCACTGCTCACACCTTTGACGCTAAGCCGCCTCAAAATGCTACTGTGCTCACCCAGGGCACTGCGATGAAGGGTTTGTAATATCTGGTACATTTTCTTGAGCCCTCACTTCGTGAGTAGTGAGAGAAAAGGGAAGGTTGGGTTTTTTTGACAAAAGGAATTTTATGTCAAATTTATAGTTTATCTTTTGTTGCGAAACAATTTCTATTACACGGGAGTGAACGTTTCTAGTTATCACATTTTGTCTGCAATGCTTGTTGACATCATTTATAATTAAAATAATGTTGACAAAGGAGTGGGGGTAGGTATTATGGGACTCAAGAAAATGTGCATAAATAAAATCACACACTTGTATCCCAGTATACTAAACCAGCAAACATATGTTTTTCATAATATTGCTAATCTGGATAAAAATCACAGATACAACACTGAAAGATAATCAATACGTAATAAAATCCAAACATTGAATCATCTAGTACAACTATACCAAGATAGAAAAATTTTAAATTCAAGTCAAATAATCTTATCTTTAAATTGACAACAGGCAACAAATGTAAACTTAAATTAAATGAAACAATGACAAGTAACCAGAGATCTTTAAACATTTACCTGCTTCTTTTAACCATTAATTTCACTGCAATTCTTTTTACAAACTCTGGTTAACTACTATATCAATTTCCTTAATCTGCTAACCGTTTTAATACAACATTCCTAAACCTACAAATAAAATGACAAACTGTTACTTATTACAAATTTTGACATAAACCTTTCAAACAAATAAAAAAAAACATGTTACCGTCATCTGCTCCAACACACAGTATTCTACTTTTAAAACAAAAATACAAAATTCTCCACTCTTCTACAATAAGGAAGGCAGAAAGTTGGTGTTATGACGTTTTCTTTGACATGGTTCACGTGTCATAAATACCAGCACCAACACCGCGCGTGAAGGAAACCAGAAAATGTATGTACTTATGGGTACCAATATGGGAGAGGTGTACTTATAATTTCTGTACAGGAGTTCTGTTGGAGAATTAAAAGGGGGGAATCGTTATCGCTAATTTTTGAAATTGAAGCTTCCTATTGGATCATCCTATTGGAACAGTGGTCCATCTCACGAAGTGTTGAGAAATTAATGACAAAAGGGCACGCAACAGCGCATTAGTTAAATAGTTACGTATTGACCTGATTTCACACGCTTATAATGACTAAATTCTATCAACTTTTTGTCTGATTTTGAGCTGGATATAACATGGTATATTGGACATCTTTTTTTTCACAGAATTTGCACTAGTGATGGCTTCCAGAGTGGCCCCTCAACTGTTGACTGAACCGGTAGTACAATTGCTTATCAGGCAGATTCGTTGAATCCTGGTTGAATCGTTGTAATCGTTCACCAGTTGTGGCGGTATCTGCGCAGATACGAGGTGGCTCTTTCAGTCTCGAGAAAATGGGTAATAATAAATAAAGTAATTAACAATTCATATATCAAAGTATTTTTAGTACACTTCGAAAGAAAAGAACATAATATGCCTTTATGAATCATTTAAATCATCAATAGTATAATATTTTATGTCAAACTGAGCAATTAATCCGAAGTTCTCTTCCATATGAATAAATACATGGGAGAAGTGGAACTACATAGACCGATTTACTCGGTGCAATGGTGCAACTGTACCAATCATTGATTGGAAACGCGGGAAAATACGGTGGCAGTGTACACTGAAAAATAACGCTCAAACAGTATTTTTATAAGACAAATTCAAAGTATAAAATAAATGCTTTATTACGACAACAAAATATTTACAAAACATTGACGCATTAGCGCTGTAAATTCGTGTATGGGAGAAAGGCAAACTACGAAGTAATCGTTGATAAAACGATTCCAACAGCGTAAAGAACCGTTGATTCATCCAATCACTCGTTGCCATCACTAGAACTTTGCACAAACACGCATTCACTGTCGGCTTTGTAGAAGCATACCGTCTTGCACAGTTGGTAGTGGTAGCCATAGAACAATAAAGGATAGAAGTGCACCGTCAATGTTAAACGTCGGAAACAAAAGTCGCTCGCAGCACTCCAAGTGGCGTGGCAAAGAACTACACAAAACCGCCCATCCAGCGCAGCGTATGAAAGTTAATTTCACTCAATCGTCTTCGCGAAAGTTAATGGATATTAATAGGCTAAATTCTACTGCAATTTTTCTCAAATATAGTAATTATCTATTTTTGTAATGACAATGCACATTTCGTAATGTCATAACTGAGGAAAGTCATCTAATTACGTGGTAATGACAGAAATGAAGAAATCAACATGAATAAATAAATAAATAAATAAGTAAATAAATAAATCAATCATTATCTTTATTGTACAATTTATATTAAACAATATTTAATACAGACTTCATCATTTTAAATTGTTTACCTTTTCATGGCCTTTTGTATATTTTTTAAGTTTGTGTTTTCTGTTTTTCATCAATTACATATTTGTATATTAAAAAAACGTACACACAAAAGTAAGTTCTTCGGATAAATCACTTAACAAATAATGTATCATCAGGTGATTTGGAATGAAAGCAAAACCTTCTCTCCAAATTATTTAAACGGTCATTTGTTTTCTAGAAATGTATGCAAATATTCATGAACATTCTTTAAAAATATTACATTCAATAACAAATCATAATAAATCATTACATTACAAAAAATACATATTTTCCCTATAGTGTTATGTGAATACAGTACGCTACAAATAATCGTGAATGACATTTTAAATTAAATGCTAACCTCCATATTGCGAAACATCATTGTATAAATACCACTAAGACCAGTAAATCGAAATGGAGAAAACCCGAAACTGTTGTGATTGTGTCCGCTAAAACAAAATATCTTGAAACGCAAAACACACACATCATCGCACAGCACACTAAAGTAACTCATGAACGTAACCAATAGCAATATGATTCACTCTTCCGTCATGTGGAAAACGCAGGCAGGCTGGATGTGACGTACAAAAAACAAGCGAAATCCACTAGCGAATCATTGCTTGATATTCTTTCAACTAGCGCTCCAAGTGGCCTGGCAGTGTGTTGCCAATTTCCCTATCCCACCTTCACCCATATGGTGGTAGCCATGGACCGACTGTCTGAAAAAAAAAAAAAGATAGTGTAAGTGACGCACTTTTTGATTGGGTTCCATCACGGAGTAAGATATTTTTCTTATAGCGTGGTTCCAACCAGCTTCTGAATATCATGCGATCCGGGGAATATAATTCTTCATCTATTATGTTTCTCTTTTGAATCCTCTCCGACATCGCAGCCCTGTCTAAAGTACGTAGAAGTACAACTATGCATTCAGTTTCATATAACTACGTAGAAGTATAACCATGCAAAGTTTTATATTTTACCGATCTCATGAAATAAACAGAACAATTTATAGGGTGACATTGTTCTGTCCGACCTTCCGTCTGTTTGTTTTCAGCGCTAGCGCCTAAACTGTTCGGACGGTTTTCTTGTAAATTGATTCTCTTATCGATCTCGAGGAACTCGAGGCCCGGTCAGTTTAAAATGGATACGTTTTTTTGCAGTACTTTACACGAAGACTCAACAACAATTTCAAAATTTTCTCAAAAACAGCTTCAATTTTTATGGAACATTGTCCTTAGGTAGCGAACTCCACAAAAATGGCGCAGATCCCATTTTTTTTAATTTCCTGATTTTTCGAGAATTGCCAAATATTGACATTTTTCGGAGACTATCTACAAATATGGTCAAGTACAATTTTGGAAAAACATGAGAAACTTTCATGTAATTATGCCTGAAATATAAACAGTTAAAAAATTATCAAAAACGACTCCATTTTCTCGTACGTAGCAAAAGGAGGTTAAAAATTGCGCGGCTCCATTTTCGCAACCGGTGAACATTGCAAAATCAAACTTACTGTATTTTGCAAAAACGATTTAAAATTTCAAAAACTTAACACTGCAAAAGTACAATGATGGTAGTGATTTTTTAAATTACATCAGTTTTTAAAAAAAATAGACCTTCAAAGGAAATTATATACATTTTGTTTTAAAACAAGAAGTTTTCGTGTAATTTCTGATTGAAGTTGCTGCAAATTATAAAAAACAATTCCCCAAAAATCCTCAGTTTTTTCTTAAAGTCTTAAAGTCTCATTTTCCTTGAACTTTCTGAATTTTCGAATTTTGTAAACCATTTCTTGCTTCGTCGTGGCTACGCGTCTCTGAACCCCTGTTGAGCGTCTGACATGGAGTAATACTCCCTAATTATTTTTGTCAAGACTCGTCACGTCACAGTTAGTCAGTGCCTTTTATCTCTTCGGCCAGGGGCTCGAAGCCGTTAGATCCAGGGGCTCCTAGATGTCACCCAACCAGGAATCCGCGAAGTCTCGAATTCACTTAACCTTCGAGACTTCACAGAGCACAATTATTAAGAAATTCATAACCAGCGACCCCGGCAATTGCTATTGTTCGAAATTTGCGAGAAAATATGAGCTGTTTTAGCCCCACTAATTTTATCAAAGTTATGTTTCACGGCTTAGAGAAGTGTTTGTCGTAGTGGTGTATGAGTACGCAAAAACGTTCACTTTTGATTAATTATGACAGTATATTTAAAAATGAAGGGTGACACACAATATTGTCGGGCTTAGCTGGTAACGACAATAAAGATGGCTCAGAATTGTCTTTACATTCATTTTCATCCCTTACCGTTTCTGAGTTAGGTTGAACGGTTTGAATGTGTGAAGTAAAACGTTGCTCTGGAGGTGTCGTAAAAATTATCATTTGAAGCAAATTTTAGAAAAGTACCTTGCGATTTCTCATCAGATTTTGATGAAAGTTTGAATACCGAGTCCCACAAGTCTTAAAGGATTCTGTCTTCTTAAAAGGAACAATCAGACATAGCAATAATTTTAATGAAATGCTTACCAATGCAACTTAGCTTGCTAATTCGTGCAATGTAGATGCAGAATCCCCCTCCCCCACATTCATTAAGGCGAAAAAAGAAATTTATATTCGGTTATAAACATGAAGATGACAGTAGATTTTTTTAGATTTATGCAGTCAAAAAAAAAAGTAAAAACTGTATGTGACTTAGGGGGAGAAGATTATCTGCGCAAGTTTTCTTGAGTTCAGAATTCCTTCCCGTTGTTTTAATTATAAATATTTGAAAGATGAGCAAAAGTTAAAAATAATTAAAAATAAATATAATACAAATTTAAAAGCACGAGAATAGCAACATTTGAAAAACTAGACATTTTTGTTTCCGAGTTATTGAAAACTTATTTGCAATGGTATGCGAAATACAGATTTGATTTTTCGGCATTGCTAACAAAATCCTAACTCGCCCTTACCTCTAATCTTACCATTACAACCAAAATGAGAATTCAACAAAACGTGCGCTTAGTTAAACTATATTTACGTCCAGAAGCAAAACAAGGGGCCATCTCAGCATTTGCTCAATGGATCAGAGAAACTGGACAAAACCTGATCGAGATGGGGGTCATTGACCCAGAAACTGAATGTAAATGAAGTAAACACAACAAAGCAGTGTAGCCTGCGCATTATTTCAATAAAATCCTTGCTCTTCATTTTGGAAAACAAAGGAAAAATTTTCAGAAACATCTCACAAAACTATGTATTCTTCAGGTTGAAGCGATATTTTACGATCTCGTAGGTATTTATTTTGTTCAGAAGAGGTGAATGAATGTGTCAACAATTCACTAAGTTTTGCTCTTAAACAATCAATAAAAACTTTTTTGGACTTCACGATTTTATCTAAATTTGTTCTGTAAGTTCTCACCCACTGTTCGAACTAAATTGTTTCGATGAAGTTTTCTTCCATTGTTTCTTCTAAAAAAAATTTATCGTCGAAATCCCAGGACTTTTACAGCAATCACTAAGAGAGCAACAAATTCGGGGTGGGTTGCATACTATTATATACGGGAGCATTTTTGTGTAAGAAGACTCATTTAATTTAGAATGTTGTAATAATGTTGGTAACTTCTGAGCATCAAGCATAAGCTTCACGTTCTGATGAATAACACAAACACAAAAAGCGTGTGTTCCACTTGCATCTGCTAAAATGCAGTTTTTTGACTGAAGAGATTTTAACATTGAAAAGCCAATTTTTAGATAAGGATATGAAGATTTGAAATTGTATATATTTCAATTAAATTTGCAAGAATGAGTTTCTCTTCTGTTCTTAATATTTTCTTTCCGAAATCCTAAATGTTATGTCTTTTTCCAGGCATTATTCTACTAATAACATCTGAACAATAATATTTCCATACTTTTTTGACAATTTGACTTTTTTGACATTTATTTCTTCGGGTATTTCTTGCT